GCTTCCTCTGTAAGCTCTGAGTGGAGGAATGGATGTCTCCTGTGCTGGCTGTTTCTCACTTCTCTAACTATGAGCTTCTGCTCCCTCCCCTTCAGAAGGTAGGGACTTCTGGTCTGGAGAAACATTCGCCAGCTGAAGTGAAGCCCACAGCAGCTTCTGCTTTGGCATCACGTGCTCTTCAGGCTGCAGCAAAGTGCATTCTATGAGATAATTAGCAACTGTATTCAAGTGACTCAAGGGAAGACTCGAGTTCTGAATTTTGAGAGGATGTTTGTGTATCTGATGTAATTTTGTCTCAAAAAGTCTGCATAAGCTTTCTATGCAACAGAACAAAGGAAAGAATTAACCAATGAGTCCAAAATACACTCGGAAAATAATATTTTGTTTGAACAGCTGATGCAACTTTTCTCCATTAAATCTAAAGAATGCCCCCGAACAGAGGTTTAAGAAGTACAGCTTTTACTATCACTAACGCCCTGCAACCAAGAAGAAAGGAAATGTGTTTGAAACACTTCAGAATAATGCTTGATGTAAGGAGGGTACTCTTTGTCTAACGCAGTCTCTGAAAATCAGTCTTTTCACCTGGAAAATTCACTTCTGCAGTTGAGCAACTGGGATTTGTTTCTTAAACATTTATCCATATATGCAATAAAATACTTAACAATTTTAATATTAATTCCTCTGCAGAAAATAATTAAAACCAAGTAGATAGAAACTGATGGCAAGGAGCAGAATTCTTAGAGCTGCAGGGTTGGTGTGACTGTGCTAGATCCTCTTGCATAGCCCGTGGCTGGTGACGCTGCGATCTGGACTGCCTTCAGCTGCCTCCCTCAGTGCAATAGATATTTCTGAATTGGGTGTGGAAATAGGGAAATTACTCACAGAAGCACCTTTTTTTTTTTTCCTTTTTCTTGCAGCGTGGAGGCTCCTGCTTGTGTTATGATTTCCCCTTTCAATGGTGTTATGTTTGCTGACTCTGCAGGGCGGCGGGAGGCATACAGCATAGAGGCAAATAATTACTAATTCCCCAGGGGCAAAGCATTTAACAGCAGAGGTTGGTTGATTATCTGGTCTTCTCTGACCACCCTTCTAAAACCTGGTAATCATATCTGAACTAACTGAGCACATTTCTAAAAGAATTCAAATACCAGTCTTTTATGGAGAAAGCATCGTATTTTAATACCAACTCTAGCATAGCATTTTCCATCAGTAGCTGTCAGTGGGCTGTACAAAGTCAGTACCACTTCACAGATGAGGAATCTGACGTGCTCAGCAATGAGGTTATTTACCCCAAACCGTCTCAGCCAGCAGCACAGCAAGGAAGGAACATGATCCAGACATCTTCTAGGCTAGTGTCAGATCCAGCTTAAATGGAAAATATTTTATTATTTATTCCTCGAGGATTTTCTAGCTCTGCCTCCCTTACACACCTTTTTTTTTTTTTTGAGCTTCATAGATCCTGCTTTTCTTTCTGGGCTCTTCAAGGTGTGCTCTTCCATCTCCTGAGCTGGGATGCAGTGAATGAAATCTGCTTTTCTGAGGTCTAACTCTTAAGGCCTAGCCCATGTAAGCTTTTTCTGGATTTGGTGACTTTAAGCCCCCAGTTCCCTACTTGCCTCAGGCCCTCAAAATAAATTTTTAGATAGGATTATATGGGAAAACGCATTAGGAGAGGAAGAGATTTTAAAAATAGCCTAGCATCTAAATCTTGATGTAATCTAATTGTCCCGGTATTTGTGAGCAGGGCATGGAGCTGTAGTAAGGACAGGCCATGTGTAGGATACACACTTTTACAAATACAAATTCATGAAGCATTCTGAAGTGTTGCTTACACCCGGGTGATGTCATTAAAGGTTTATCTATAGTAAATCTGCTTTCTTCAGGGGGCTTTTTCGCACCCACACGTGATAACCCGTAAAAGCAGCTGTTACAGTTCGAATCTGTCGGTCAAGGCTTTATTAATCCTGCTACAGCACAAACGGGCTGGCAGCAAAGCACAGGCCAGAGAGCAAAATCAGAAGGGCTGCACCATCCTGCTCCTTAAGTTTAATCGACAATGCAAGACTAAATAGGAAAAAATTAAGATGTGCCCAGATTGTCTTAATTTTGGTGGTGTGACTTTTTGTTGCCATGAAATGTTACCCAAAACCCCGTTCATATTTCAAGGTTTTATATTGTAATTGCTGAATTTAAGTAGTTACCATGCTATAAAGCCACAGAAATAAAAGAAATATTTATTTAAAGCTTAAACATTACAATAGGGCTCTTTATTAACATTGTTTATATTTTTAACATTCCAGGCTTTTCATAGCTTTCTGCCACATCCTACCATCTAGCTTGGGGTGTCTGTACTTTTTTTTTTTTTTCCTAGCCATGTCAGTGACCACCTGGAAAACGCAACAGAGGAAAGCCGATGAAAAAATGTAAATATTTGACAATAAATAGCAAAAGCTATCGCAATAAGAATTGGAATTTGCTTCCTAATTCCTGTGACAAACAAAGGCTTCTAGACTTCACTGCTCATGAACTCGCCCTGTTTCCTTATTCTATAAGCTTTGCTGCTCAGCAAGATTCTTCAGATGCTTCACAGACACCTCGTAATACCAGCTAATGTAAT